ATGTTATGATTATTTTTAATATATTATGATCATTTTTCAGAACGAACCTCCCAACTAAACAACTGCACTATTAATCTATATTAAATCCTCTGAAATATAGGGATCTTAACAGCTACACTATTAATCTATTCCTATATTTCTGAGGGCTTTGCAAACAGTCGAAGAACTCTTTAATAGCTTAGCTTGTAGAGAATTTTTCAAGCTACTCAATCATGTATTTCATAATTCAAATCATATACAAATACGCGGAAAAAGTTCTCGTTACCTATTACATAGGTCATCTTTAATGGATGACCCCTGAGTATCGGACTATGCGGACAAAAGAGACTAAAATGACCAAAACGTGATCAAAACTTTATGAAAATACTTTTCTGCTACTTCTGGAACCATGTCAGATCCAAAAACAGAATGGACCGATTCACTGGCTTACATGGGACCTTCCTTTCTCAAGTAGTAAATGTGTTTTGATTATATCATTTTTCTGTTTTAAGGCCGTGCTGCAGTTCATGACACATGTGGTAAACAAACGTTTCTCAATGTTTGTAATGAAGAACTATATATATTATTCTATTTTTAGCACATTTTAATACAACAGCATTTCAGTCGATGAGAGGATATTTTCAAGTAAAATTATTAGAAGAAATGAAGGAATCTTTCACGCCATTTCATGCAATACTAAGAGATTTACAGGTTTGTAAAAAATATCACCTGATAAGAAGATAATAGTTATAATTTACTAGTGCATTTGCAGGTCAATAATGTACGACGACCTAATGATTTTGAAGCAGCTGTAAAAGATAAAGAAGCAGCGAAAGAAAATATCAAGGTAAGTTAATTTGTGGTCTTTTACCAGTAATTCCTCAGTGTTTATTATGATTATTCCTTGAGATTTTCTGGACATTGATCTCTTTTCTTGCTAAGATGTACGTGTCTTTGACTTTGGCGTTATTATTACATTTACTTTTCTTCCTTCCCTAATCTTCGAAGTGTGATTTCTTTTGTTTAGATTGCTGAAAATGAACGCCCAAAATTGTTGACACAAGCGCGTACTGAATATGAAAAAGCTGAAAAGCAAGCACAGATTATCCAAGAACGTGCGCTAACCGATAGCAATATAATAAAACGACAGTATGTTAGACTTCACATGCATAAATCTCTCTATCATGTTTATTTTTCAGAGCTGAAGCAGAAGCACAAGCTGTACGTACCCGTTATCGTACTGAAACAGGTATATTAATACAATATATATAATTTTTGCTTTGTAATTACATCTTAAATTTATTTAGATACTTACTTTGAATTAAAAGACAAAATGAAATTAAGTGTTGCTTCATTGCTCAATTACATGGCCATACGTGTCATTGGTACATCGAAAAATGATGTCTATATTAATCTTAAATCTCCAGCACAACTAAAATATGATTTATAAACGTATTTCTTATTTTTGACTTGTTCGTTTTAGAACTAATGATATTCGTGTGCTTTGTTTTCTTTCTATACCTTTTAGCCATGACAAATGTATTTTGTCAGTGATACAGCTTTTTTAGTTAATATTATTCTTTAGGAACACGTTTTTATATTACAAATTTTCTTTTATATGTGTTTTTTTGAGTGGCACTTGCTGTATACAAATATAATAGGTTTTTTTTATTACTTTGTAAGATATTTTTCTCACAATTGTACATGTTTGAATTAAATATATTTGTTGAAAACTTTATTCTGTATATTAGAATATTCATTTCTGTTCTGATTTGTACTCATCTAAGTGTAAATGTATCTTGGTGGATAATAACACATGTCTCTGCCTTTAGATCTGTGAAATTCCACTAAAATATCGAAACGAAAATATTCTTCAGAGCTTGAAGAAAGAATTAATGGAAACATAAAGTATCATCAACGAATGACAACATATTTCGAGAATGGTACGTTTCGTACATGTAGTTGTACTGTAAGTAGTTTATTTGTTTTCATATACATTTATTTATAGGAAATACACAACAAAAACTGCATAATGGAACGAAACGATTTTTCAAATGTTAAAAGAACACTTGGTATCGAAAACTGAACGACTTATACGTAAAACAGATGAGAATATTGAGACTATTCTGCTCTTTTTTTGCGTTGCTGAATCTTAGTCTATCTTCAGAAAACAACTGCACGAGCTGACGAGAAAGAGTTCGTGAAAAAAAGCTAACTATTTCATTTTGTAACTCAAACAGATAAACTGCTGAGTGTTTTTTTTGAGAAAACCTGTCCTATCACATTTTGCAATCTATAAAATTTTGTCAAATTAGACTAAAATTTTTTTTGCAAATGTCCAAGATCTTATTATGTTAGATTTCAGAATAGTGTTTTATTCCACTTTCTTTTCGAGATATCTCGAAAATATGAGAAGCATACGTTTCGCGTTTCGATATCGTATACCACTTGTACACAAAATCGAAAATGCAAATACTCGATTCAACATCAGGATTTTAGTTCCAAGTGCCTCAGTAAAAGTTTCAGTTCAATCAGATGGAAAAACGAAGCGTCGTAGTGTGGCATGATTTAGAACACTCGTATTTAGAGTTGCACAAGGCATAAGGGGTAGGTACGTCCTTCAGAGTCCCCCGAGGAGTGTCGGCGAACCCTGTGAATTTCTTAATTTGAAGAGAAGACTATAGTCTGCAATACTCTCCACTTACGCAGATTTTGTTCGTTTTATTTCTAGAGAAAAGAAAAATTGTTGTTTTCGCTTTTTTGTGTTCAATTTCGATAACCTTTGAAAGGCTAGTCAGTTCCAAGTGAGGGACATCTCATTTCGCGGAGGACACTTCAGACTATTACTACGTATATTCAGCACAAAATTCAACTTTTAATAGAAAATAAGTGTTTGTGAGTTTGTTATTTTAAATATGACGGCGTTTTTTTAGAACGGTTCCAATGTTTTTGTCTGCATTGTTCATTAACAACACCTAGCCAATGTAGTTATTGTGAGAAATCATTTTGGCATAAACATACACCAAATTGCCTCCAGTGTAATTCAATATGTTGTCTATTTTGTTCAACAACAGTGTATGTAGATGTCTCTACTATTAAACGTTTGTTTTTCTATTTTTTCTCATTTTCAGAAGCAAGCAAGCATCAGTCTGTTGGACTTGCATTCTTCGAAATCATGGTTCAAATTTAGTTTCTAACATAGTTCTTTTCCCATGTTTATATAGCCTCTAGCAGGCATTATATTTATTTTTCTATTTTTAATCTGTTTGATACAGTTCGATTGTATCTGTTATTCTAGTTAATAAAAGTTCAAGAACCCTATTGGCTTGCATAAATGCACCGTTCAAGCACTAGTAGCCGAATTTTCAATATGGTTCAATTTTTCTACGCAATCTTTTCTGTTTTGTGAATTTTAGATGTAGGTACGATATCGAAGCACACTCATTACCAAACGTATCTTGTTTGTGAAAAGAATGGATGGGGGATTCGAATCGTACCAACAACGTTTCAAATGGGCGGTTAAAATATCTTCACTATTTAACCGTATTTATCATCATGTTACAAATTGCTAAAGGGTTTGAAATTGTGCAGGAATCATGTAATAACACGTATGATGGAGGAGAAACGTTTAGTATTCAATATGAAACAACAAAACTACACAATGAATATATTGTTCAATTTACCGGTTATTATTTAGAGACTACTCGTTTTAATTACATAAAGAAAGCATTGAATCGAAATGGTATCAAGAAATTTGAAATAGTTAAACGGCACAATATAATGGAGCAGTATCCGTCAGATTTTGATATTTTAAGACTTGAAATTGAACAAGAAGAAGAAGAAATATCAAATGTCCTGAAAAAACATCCTTTGATACGAGCTGTTGGTTCACATAGGAAAATTATTCGATATCTAAATCAATATGATGATGATTTATTGTACAAAAAGCGTCAACGTAAAGTATTTTCAACCGAACAACAACAAGATAATGAACTAAATGACATACGTTCTCCTAAAAGAAAATTGCAACGTAGTTCACCAGTCTATGTAAGAGTTGCCGAAACATTACAAGCACCGAAACTTTGGAGAATGGGACATAAAGGTGCTGGTATTCGTGTGGCCATTTTTGACACGGGCATACAGAACGCACATCCACATTTTCCAAATATTGAAGAAATAACAAATTGGACAGATGAAAAAAGTGATTCAGATACGATTGGTCATGGATTGTTTGTTGCTGGTGTAATTGGAAGTAATAAAGAATGTTTAGGTATTGCACCAGATGCTGAATTACACATATTTAAGGTGTTTACAAATAACCAGGTAAGCGTGTAGCAATATCTTTTTATTAAAATGATAAATGAATACTATCTTTGTATAATACTATAGATATCGTACACATCATGGTTTTTGGATGCGTTCAATTATGCTATTGTGAAGAAAGTGCATGTGTTAAATTTGAGTATTGGTGGACCGGGTACGTTCAAGTAAAAATAACAATGATTTTCATATATTTGTTTGTGTATCCTTCTGCTTAGATTTTATGGATCAACCATTTATAGACAAAGTAAGCGTAACACAGTTTTTGAGATCGATTTTATCATGAGATAAGACGGGACTAAATTCTATTCAGGTTTGGGATTTGACATCAAATAATATTATTATGGTCTCAGCTATTGGTAATGATGGCCCCATATATGGGTATGGCTCTAATTACTTTTTAAATTGTATAATATTTTAAAAATAATTTTTTCTAGAACATTGAATAATCCAGCTGATCAAATGGATGTTATGTGAGTGTGAAACAAGTATAGTTGTTATTTTATTTCCATTTCTTCTCTTCATTTTAGTGGCGTTGGTAGTATGACTATAGAGGATTCGATATCGCGCTTTTCTTCTCGTGGTATGACTACATGGGAACTACCGTCAGGTTATGGACGAATGAAACCAGATTTAATTACTCATGGTTCACTCGTTAGAGGATCAAATCTTGGCTCTGGATGTAAAGTTCTCTCCGGTACAAGTGTCGCATCACCTGTTGTTACTGGCGCTGTTGCACTCTTAGCTAGGTGAGAAAATAATACATTTTTCTAATACATTTTCTTACAAGTTAATTTTTTAGTGCTATTAAACATCGATCAAACATTGTTAATCCGGCTAGTATGAAACAAGCACTTATTGCATCAGCACAACGAATTAAACATGCCAATATGTTTGAACAAGGTCATGGAAAACTAAATTTATTACGAGCATTCAAAGTTCTTAATAACTATGTTCCACAAGCCAGTTTAAGTCCATCTTACATCGATTTTACGGAATGTCCATACATGTGGCCATATTGTACTCAACCTTTGTATTACAGCTGTATGCCAACAATTGTCAATGTAACAATTATAAATGGAATGGATGTTGTGGGTGAAATTATTAGCAAAGTAAGCTTTCCCCCCTACACATATAATTTTTGTGATATATTTTTTTCTTATAGCCTCAATGGCATCCCCAAGAAGCAAATGGTCGTTATTTACAGTTAGCGTTTAATTATTCACAAAAATTGTGGCCTTATTCTGGTTATTTGGCTATTTATATTTCGGTGCATCGTAATGGCTCTGACTGGGATGGAATTGTTCAAGGACACATCACATTCACCGTTGAATCACCACCAAAAGTAAGTACAATTTAAAACAGATAAAATAATTGCAACTCTATTATTTTGTTTAAGGATTCAGAAAGTTTACCACAGCGAACTGATCTCGTATTACCGGTTAAAGTTCGTATAATTCCAACACCATCACGTAAACATCGTATCATTTGGGATCAATATCATTCACTCGGTTATCCACCTGGTTATTTTCCACGTGATGATTTAAAACAGAAAAATGATCCATTGGATTGGAATGCTGATCATATACATACAAATTTCAAAGATTTATATTTAACATTGCGTAGTGCTGGCTATTTTATTGAAGTTCTTGGACAACCGTATACATGTTTCGATGCGAGTCTATATGGTAAGTAGAGTAAATTGATGTCAATATAATCACAATACATTTATTTCTATTGATAATCTTCAAAGGTACGTTATTAATTGTTGATCCTGAAGAAGAATTTTTTACTGATGAAATAAATAAATTGTATGACGATGTTGTTAATAAATCATTGTCGTTAATCGTCTTTGCCGATTGGTATAATACATCAGTGATGACACGAGTACAATTCTTTGATGAAAATACAAGGCAATGGTAAGTCTCATTTAATATAATGTCTTCTGTTTGTTATAGTATTTTTTTATTAATAGGTGGCAACCAGAAACTGGTGGTTGTAATTTACCAGCACTAAATAATTTATTGAAAATGTATAACATCGCATTTGGGGATACCATTTTAGAAGGCACATTTAATCTTGGCGAACATAGTATTTATTATGCATCAGGTGCACAAATTGTTCAATTTCCAAATGATGGTTATCTTGTTTATCGTAAACTAGGCAATCAAGGTGAAGTTATCTTAAATATGCCCTTGTCACCTCATTTGCATCAACAACAACGTCATTTACAAATTGATGATCATGATCTTCGACAACCTATATTTCATCATCAAATTGATATTGAAGATATACAAAAAGCTACCGATATTAAAGGAACATCAAAAATGTCGGTACCCATTCTTGGACTGTTACAAGCACCAAAAAATGGTGGACGTATTGCTGTCTATGGTGATTCAAATTGTATTGATTCAACACATTTAAAAATCGATTGTTATTGGTTATTATTAGCATTACTCGAGTTTACAAATTCAAATCGTGTACCAAAGTTGTTTTTACAATTAGATGAAAATAAACAAATTGATAGTCCTCAGCCACCATTAACACGATTAAATACGAGTAGATTACATAAATTTTCACGCGTTGTTATGCTCGATGAACAACAAACAAATAAAATGTCTGATGGTCAACTCGCATATAAAGAAAGAACGTTTCCAACATGTGAAGTATACCAATTTGTTGAACCATCACTGCCTTATATTGGAACTATGTTAGCTAATAAGTACATAATATTGTTTATTTCATTTTCATCAAGTATAGTTTATTTTAATCTATATTTTGTCCTTTTTTTTCTAGTGATATAATGCGCTATCATCGTTTGTTATCAATTAATGATGAAACTGGTACATCGGATTCATACAATAATGATTTATTTGATGATCATGATCCTCATACTATTCGAGATTACCATTCATTGAAACAATTTTTTTCATTTCAAAATCCCATAATGATACCATCTTTATTTGCCATAATTAGCGTATTATTTGTATGCCTGCTATTATTTTCAAAATTATTTCGTTTAAGAAATAGAAAAATATTGAGAAAAAATGTACAACCATTTCAACAAAAAAAAGGACGTTTAACCACTACTAGTGTGTGGAAAAACGGAAAAAATTCTGGTGTTTAAAGCTTTTGTTTTTTGGATCTCTAATTTTAAACAGTGAACGTTTTCTTTGTATATAATTTCTTTGTAGTTTTTGTATTATTCAAATTTGTTTCTACATTTTTCATTTAAAAGTTTTTATATTATTCTGTTTTAATAGATCATTTAATAAGATCTGTTTTGAGATTGTTTGTCTTAATAGTTGGAGAAAGAGTATGAATATAATAATAATAATAATAATAATAATAATAATCAAAATGAATCTTAGAACGTTTATGACGACGGTGAACGGCCGAACTACCGTTTTCTAGTTCGTTTTTCTTAAATAATATACACTATTTCTTTAGCTTTTCATAATACATAAAAAAATATAAAGTAAATTATTGATATGCTGATATTTCATCTCACAAGAGGCATCGTCAGAGCATTAGTAAAACGTTATTCATATAAATTTTGGGCACCAGCTGCAGATGCATACGTTTTTAAGAGGACTAACAAAATCAGAGCACTGTTTAATATAAAACACCACACCCTTGAAACTATCCGTTTAGGAGTCGCATACCATGTAGTGTTTGCGATGCGCATTAGAGATGTGCAGGGCGCCCTTACCCTACCCTACCCTGCACAGGGCTCTAATGTCACACGATACGGCTTGGAGGGCGCTAACACCACCTGAAACAACAGGGTAGGGCCAGGGCTCGAAGATCACCTGAAGCAACAGGGTAGGGTAGGGCCAGGGCTCCGGCGTCACAGGGTAGGATAGGGGGAGGGTACAACAATTTTTTACAGGGTAGGGCCAGGGCTCCAGAAACAGCTACCCTGCACATGTTTAATGCGCATTACAATGGTAAAACCATACGACATCTGTACACTAAAACTAAGAAATACATAGACGATGTTAAGCACGGAGCCACCGATAAGTCAGCAGTAGTAGCACAGGCATGGGAAAAGGGAGACGATCTAAAACTATCCACATATTCAGTGATTCTTAGCGAGGCCAGTTTCCACTAGAAATCGAGCGAACAACGATATAGTAGCGATGTAGGATAACGGCAGGACATCAGATACAATAGTGCAATAAACTAATACTTTATTGAGCTACTAGTCTACTACATGATTGTATCTGATAAGATCCTGCTATTATACTGTATTGCTACTAAACTGTTGTTCGCTCAAATTTTAGCGTGAATCGGCTCCGCTCAGAATCACGTAATATACGGATAGTTTTGATATGATTCAATGCAACTCAACGCGCTAATTCGAAATATCGCCTTATTGTTGCTTAAATTCCTGGACCGAGAAAAAGCGATCTTTTTAAAACCATGGTTTCTGGAATATCTATAGCGAGGCCTAGAAACATTTGCGCTATTTTGTGCTATGTGTATGCTTACAGTATATGTAGAAGTATATATTTGCAAAATTTTGGCTCATTCTGAGGCTAACTAAAAGTGGTGACCTCACTATATTGATGATATGTCGCCGTGTACAGCGGTATACTCAGATGGACATTTGGCAAAAAATCGATTTTTCTGTAAATGTTTATTTTGCCTTTAAAAGTATCAGAGATGACTCAGCAATGATGATTACTGATGAAAAAATAGTTTATGAGCAAAAATTCTGATGTCCACCTACTAAGCGAAAAATGTCTACTATGCGTCAAGTACAATGTTTATTATTTGTCACACAGATATGAAATTAAAGGACGGGGGCCGATAAGAAGCAAAATCGGCCCCTCTCAGATCAAGCTCATATTCACAAGTCTGATGTAGTTTTTCTCGGTGATTAAAACTAGCATTTCAAGAAAAACATTTTCAGCCCCCCTGGAAAAAATTCCGCA